ATTGTCATCGAATCAATTAAAGTTATGAAAATCGTTTTTAAAAAAAAAAAAAAAAAAAAAAAAAAAAAAAAAAAAAAAAAAAAAAAAAAAAAAGTTTATTTTTATTTTTTTTTAAAAGCATCACAAAAATTGACACACTATGATATGTAAAACTACAGTGTAACTTTTAAATGTTATATTTACCATATCTTTACAAACAGTCGTGTCTAATTATACAGTTCCGCGTGATGTTTTACTACCCTGGCGAGGATGCTTCCATGCAGTGCAACTGTCAATAAGTCGTGGATGCTCTGCTGATTACGGCACTTATTTGCATAACAAGCACCGTTATCTTGGAAAATATATGTTGCAGTAAGCAGTTGAGTAGCTACTGTTCCAAGAATGACAGCGGCCATGGAATTGGCAGATTCCAATGAAGTGACAGTCAAAGGGAATTCTCAAAGCAAGAAAATCCGTAGGATTGGTTTAGCTCTAGTCTTCGTTTTCTGTCTTGTTCTGCTAATTGTATGTATAGTGCTAGCAGTCTTGTATTCGTCTACTGACAGCCAAAAAGCGGGAAAGTCCGAGATCTGTGATGATGAGCAATGTTTTCGCCTAGGACAAGGTAAGGATGGTTGACTAAATCATTAAATTGATTCTGACTTAACTCTTTTTAGTTGGGCCGCCTGCGTTGGTGTAAAATAAAACATGTGAATAAGAAGGATTCCTAGGATGCGTTTAGATACCAGACGTTTAACCTATACAGTCCCGTCTCTTTAATTGCACATAAAATACATTCTGTTTACACGAAACCGGATCCAAATTTGCACCGCTAGAGGTATGAATTTTTTATCGGATAGCTCAGTCCCGTATGAACGGGACCCCTAAAAAAAACTTTTAAAAAGTTAAAAATTCGTCCGGTACCGTTTTTAAAACGCAAGAAACATTAGTTTTTTTTAAAGGTATTTAGACGAAATTACACATTTCAGTGTAGTGTTTCATTTTTTTTTAAATGCGTATTAATCCTTGTTAAAATATTTATAATTTATTTATCAACTCCTGAATATTACGACAAGCGGAGATACAAAGCCTATGCGTGACGCCTTGAGTCATTAAGAGTTTGAGAAAACAATTGTAATGTAAAAAATTGTATAAATATCATCTTCAAAGCCGTGAGACATAAAGTTAGTACAGTATTAAGTCTTTTTTTTTTCTTCTTCTTCTTTTTGCACTATATTCATTACCATGTGAAAGCTGGATAGAATTATTTTTGAGTGAAGTCACTAAACCCGCAAAATATGTAGCAGGTTAATTCACATTAGCAGGGATGCGGGACCATTAGATAATCAATTATCTAACTGCCCGTCCCTAACTCCATTGCTTTCTCTTATCACAATTGGATTATTACGCGTTAACTAACAGATCTTTCTCTTTCATGGGTTAAATAACTTCACTCTATTTGGACCGGGACATTAGTAGACACTATTTCCACTGTCTTATTTTAATTTCTTTATGGTTTGACTTTCTCAAACAATACTTCTTTCTGTAATCTATATGATTCTGTATTATTTATATACTTTGTATATAAGTGAACGCAATATATCTAGAATTGCCATTGTGATGTTAATGTCCAACCATTTTAAAAATAAAGAATAGTCAACGTGAAAGGTACACCTCAGTAGGCACAAATCCCATTGTTCTCTTTTGTTTTGCTTTGACTGTCATTCAATAATTATGCAACTTCGTTCCTCGTGCCAAATAAAATCACTCTAGCTTTTGTCGCTTTGCTTTATTCAATAATTCTAAGATTTCTGATTGTCAATTTAAAAAAAAAAACATGTGAAATTGCAATGTATATATATATACGCAATATATATATATAAAGAAGAATTAAGTGAAAGACATCCACGAACTGCTTGCTGGTCCGAATGGACTTTATTCTTGTAGACGTTTTGGCCTAATCGGCCTTCTTCAGTACAAAAAATATTTACAGTACTTGGAGCAGTTAAAAATGAACTAAAATGATGCTAATATAAATAGTAGAGAGAAACTAAAAAATGCTATAAAATCAGGTAGTTTGTGGTATCTTCCCGATATTTTTTTTCGAGTTGGCTATAACGATGGCTTTAGGAAAAACATATCAGGAATGATTAAATCCCATAATTTTTGATATACTTTTGATATAATAGTTTATATATATAAAGGGTCAAAGCTTATGCATATGACTGTTCCTATATCCATTGTTTTCTCACTTGTCTGCATTTGAAAACAGAAATGGTACAAAACATGAATAAGAACGTTGATCCTTGCGAAGACTTCCACGCCTATGCATGCGGTGGTTGGGAAAGCAGACATCCCTTGGAAGACAACGCAACATCAGCAATGGGTGTGTGGACAATCGTGTCAGATGAAAACAACGCCGTTCTCAAAAAGGCTTTGGAATATGCTCATCTGAATTATTCAAAGGTATAGGAAGAAGCAGCTTTATTTGTGCCATAAATAGCGCACAATTTTATAATGTAGCCCTTTGCGAGTTAGAAGGAATAACTGCGTCGAGTTAGCATTACAGTGCATTTTTAAATTTATTTTGGGGGGGGGGGGGGGGGAAAAAATGGACGACATCTTGGAAATATGTCACCTAGAACCGCCCCAAAATGCACTGTCGTGATAACTCGACTAACTTTTCACTCATCTTTGGAATGGTTAATGCATATGAGGGATGCTATGATGATTTTAAGAAACCCGGCACCTTTTTTAAAATTGAAAAAATAGCCTTTATTTAAGAAAATTCTATTCCACGATGTCACGTGGCTCACGTGCCCTATCAGCAGTTAAAATTAATAAAAACCAATAATAAATGCAATAAAAGTAAGCGAAATCGCCGTTGTCTTGATTGGTCACCAGCCGCCATTTTAATTACCGTGAGACATTATGAAATAGGAGACGGGGTATTAGGAACTGTTCGCCTAGACAAACAATCCTTTGCGAGCTTAGAGTTGAGATCACCTGGCAAGTATAATACATTAACTAACACATGGACGCGCGTGCTTTTCTTTACCACTTCACTTTATGCTGTCTTACCCCGGGAATATTAGTTTGCCTACTTATCTTAGCTTGGCCATCATTGAACAGTGGCCAAGGAAAGTAGAGGGATCGGGCTGCTTGCGGTCATCATTGAGTTGCAAGCCATTTATATTTGCTAGAACGACGCTGTGATGAAAATGGTACGTGTGTACGACTCTTGTATGAACACCAACGCAATAGATGCCCTAGGATTACAGCCCCTCAAAGATTTGATCGAAGAATATGGCGGATGGAGCATTTCGCATAACTACAACCCAAATGTTACCGTAGCGCAGCGAATTGGCAGAGCTGCACGTGAACTGAATATYGACTCTTTGTTTGGCATGGATGTGCGACCTAATTTGGTAAACTCTGACATCAATGTGCTAATGGTACGTATTAAGTTTCTTCCCCCTCTACCTTCCTACTTATAAGACATTCCGAGGTGTAGGGAAAAAATAGGTCGTGTTGTAATTGCGGGGCATCGTGGAGCTGTTTTGGGGGACAAAATACACGCCATTTTGGAAATATGTTCCCTAATTAAAATTAAAAACAGCGCAATCTTTCAGTGTAATTCCAATATAATGTCTGATATCTTCTTATGTCTGATTTCCTACCTTTTTTATTTTCTTTCCTAGCTGTATCCATTCCTAGTTTTCTTCTTGTTGCATCATTTCATCCTTTCTTCCCTTTTTTATTCTTTGTTTCGCTCCTTAAATATTGCTTAATCTCTCTTTAATCAATCTTTTCTTCAGTTAAAAGAATCAAAATTAGGGCTTAACAAAAGGGACTATTTGGATCCTGACGAAGACAGTGCAAAGGTAAAAAAAATACTAGCTCTCAGTTATATTTCAGAATTTCAGAACTCATTAAAAAAATTAGATTTTTTTTGGTTGGATCGATCATATTTTCTTATCAAATGTTAGACTAAGATTGAAAGTTTACCTTGATGTATGTTTTTTTATGCTGATAGGATGCTGCCATAGTAACGATAAACTGATTTTCTCCTCTTTTTTATTGATACTGTTTTCCAGAAACGCAATTACTACAAAAACTTCATGGAAAGTGTGAGCTATTTTTTTAATGCGTCTTACGCTAAAATGGAGGCAATCTATGAATTTGAAAAAAAGCTGGCAATGGTATGTGTTTGTTTATAAATATCAAATATTAATCGTTGTAATTAGTTTTCTCATTTCTATCACTTTCTTCGACTCAAGTCATGTATCATCATTGTCAACGTAACCACTGCCACAACCGTCATCGCTATTAACATCATCATTAGCACTATCATCATARTCACTATCATCATCTTACATCATCTTACAACAGCATTATCATCACCAGCATCACCATTATAACCAACTCCATCTTTCGTCATCTTCATCGTCATCACCACCGTCACCATCACCACCACCACCACCACCACCACCCTCATCATCTTTCATATTTTCTTTTATTATCATCATCATTTTATTATTATCATCTTCATCGTCATTATCATCACCACCATCACCATCACCATCACCACCACCCTCATCATCTTTCATATTTTCTTTTGTTATCATCACCACCATCACCATCACCATCACCATCACCACCACCTTCATCATCTTTCATATTTTCTTTTATTTTCATCTCCATCATCACCATTACCGTCTTTCAGCATTTTCATTATCAATATCATCACCACCAACACCATGAACCTCATTTATATTGATTTGATTCTTTGTCATTCCTCTTAATCTCCATCGACATCATCATTACCCCTGTCATCATCAAAAACACCAAAAAGACAGATTACCATTTTAAGGCAAACGTTATGATCTTAAAAAATATCTATTTTTAAGCAATGGTTTGCCTTGCAAATTAACACCAACAACTTCTTTTTTCGATACTTTTAGATTGTAAGCGAAAAAAGCCCCGATGCTGTTTTGCTTGATTATATTAAAACCATTGCCATATCAACTAGAACGAGAAGAAATACAGTAGACGAGACAATAACACTTTCCTTGCTTTGCCAAGAGACTGGGTTTCCGGTACAGTACCAATTGAATGTATACATATATACATATCTTTCTATTAAAAAAAACTTACAGAGAATATAAATAAATAATCAATCATTTAGATGTTTTGTGGAGGGTGCAAGAGAAAAAACCTTAGAGGTTCAAATTCCTCTTGCACTCTAAATGAAACGAAAAAATATACATGTTTATACAATGGAGGAAGTATAAATAAATATCTGTTCTGTTAATCAGCAGTGAAGAAACAATTTTGTTTGGATTAAATAAACTCGTTAAATTTCTCTAAATATATGTTATAGAATAATAATAGTAATAAAGATATAATTAATGAAGGTGGTACAGGAAGAAGTAAATGATTTTTCCCAAGAGGTCTTATAGTTCTATTAGTGTGCTGACACACGGTGCAACATTGCACGCAATAGGACTGTTGCAGTGTGTGTCTACCCCAAACTTGTTGCACGCAACGTTGCATGCAACAAATCTGAAGTTGAATCGCGCTCTACTCGTGCAACATTGCAAGCAACAAATTTCATCGCGTGAACATGGCTGCAACATTACCTGCAACATTTTGAAATTTCCAGCTAATCAGCTTGCACCAAATTTATAACTGCTGACCAAATATCTTAATATAGCAGGCTGATTTTGTTGCAATGTGTGTCACCCCGATTCAAATTTGTTGCTTGCAATGTTGCATGAAATGTTGCACCGTGTGTCAGCACCTATGGTATCTTGGTTATATAAATATACAAAAATTATTGTCGAAAACATAGAGTTAATGCATTGAATTAAATAAGAATACTTCATTCGTCTCTTTTAATCAAATACTAATCATTAAATATTAATGAAATATCAGGAGATATTAAGCCATTACTTTTGATCCGCAAATGAAAATTGTACTTTTGATAATCTAATTTTGACCAACAACAAATCAATCGTTTTATCAAGTTTGGTGACGAAAGCTGTGAACTTTTTTTGATTACATATGCCTCAATTAACCGTTCTTTTCTTTTGCTTTAGTGGCCTGTGCTTAAAGAGGTTTTGGATGTTCTGTTTGACAGGAAGTTAACTGGAAATGAAAAAATCCTTGATGTGCCTGAACATACAGACTTTTTGAATGAGATTAGTCATTTGTATAGTAGAACGTGAGTTATTTTGTTCTGAATTTCTTCCATCCACCCACCAACCCACCCACCCATGCATCCATGCATCCATGCATCCATGCATCCATGCATCCATGCATCCATGCAT